TTATCTAAAATTCAAACTCAGGCAAAACTCATCTAAGGTATGAGAAGTCAGGATAGTGGCTATCTCTGGGAGGGGGATAATAATGACTGAAAGGGGGCTTCTAGGATTCCAGGGGTGTTATTTCATCATCTGGGAGTTGGTTACATAAATGTGTTGACTTTGTGAAAAATTATTGAGCTGTACAGTTATAACTTGTGCAATTTTCAGAATTTATTATTGTGTATATGTATATATCAATAAAATTTACCAACAAAATAAAGCTAGAGTAAAGCTAATTCACAAGATTGGCATTAAATATGAAAGATTCCAGGTCCAACTTGGTATTTATTCATTGACCTGCTTATTGCAACTTACTTTGTACCCAATACTGTGTTTGATTTTGGTGATATAATGGTAACTGTTATGGGTTGAATTGTATGTGCCCTCCCAAAATTCATAAGTTGCAGCCCTAATCCCCAGTACCTCAAGATGTGACCTTATTTGGAGATAGGGTCTTTACAGAGTTAAAATGAGTTCATTAGGGTGGGTCCTAATGTAATATGACTGGCATACATATAAGAGGAAATATGGACACACATAGAGCACATAGAGGGAAGATGACATAAGAGATATAGAGAAGGTGGTCACCTATAAGCCAAGGAGAGAGGCAAAGGTCTGAAACCAATTATTCCCTTACAGTCTTCCAAAGGAACCAACGTTGCCAACACCTTATATCAGACTTCTGGCCTCCAGAACTGAGACAAATTTGTGTGGTTAAGCCATTCAGTTTGTGGTACTTTGTTTCAGCAGCCCTAGAAAACTAACAGAGTAACCTTCCCCCATTTTCCACACCCTCAAAATGTGCTGTCCTTGCCATCAATAAAAAGTACTGTCCCTGACTGTAACCATGATAATAGCAATAAAGGACAGCCTAGAAAAAAGAAATGTGGCATAATTAAGGAAGTCATAAAAGGTTTCCCTGAGGAATTTTTAACCAAGCTAAAGCCTGAAGTAAAAGAAATTATTAACTAGGTAAAAAGAAAGGGATGAGCCTTCCAGGTAAAAGAAACAGCATATTTTCAAGCCCCTTACCAGAGGAAAAGAAAAAATACAAGTGTGTGGCTCAAAATAATGTGTAATACGGTAGGAGATGAGTCTGGAGATCAGCTGGAATTCAGATTATGCAGAATTTGTTAGGCCATGTTAAGGATTTTGGATGTTATCTCAAAAAGCAATGACATGAGGCAACTATTTAGTGCATGATAATATGATGAAATGTGAAATACTCAGCATCACCTATGAAGCATCCTTGCCAAAATAGTTGAAACTAAATCTAGTTAAGTTTTTACAGCTAGCTTCCATTTACAGGAAATATGGGAAAAAGAAAAACAAGTTAAATAATACCATAAGGAAGCAATCAGACAAATCTAAAATGTGGAACATTCCCAGTAACAACCAAGCCAGTCCAATCAGTCAATGGCAAGAGAGAGAAAAAGAGAGGAAGAATACTCTATATGCAGAGACACCACAACGAAATAGAATACATGGACCTTGTTTAGATCCTAATTGGAACAACTCAACTGTAAAAAGGCATTTTTAAGCAATTTGTGAAATGTGAATACAGATTGGATATTAGATAATACTAAGGAATTATTTTTAGTTATTTTTACAATATTCTGTCTCTTCCCACTGAAGTTGTAATCTTGATAGCAGAGACCATACACAAAACAGGTATCCAGAATATGCTGGGTTTGTTTTTGTTTTGGCCGCACTGTGCAGCATGTGGGATCTCAGTTCCCTGACCAGGGAAGCGCAGGGTCTTAACCACGGGACCGTGAGGGAAGCTCCCACCATATGTTGCTGATGCTGGTGTTGAATCCTGGTATTTACAATTTAGGCAGAAGGTGAAAAAGCACTGGGAAATCATCTGTGGAACTACTGAATTTTTGAGTTGTGAATGACAAAAGGAATTATCTAGCCAAAATAAATTCATGAGGAAAAGGACACAAAACTAGATCGTGGTAGAGCTGGTCTAGCACAGGCTCCTATGCCACAAGGCTCATGTTATACCTCTTTCAGTGCAGCATATAGGCAGGTTCTCACAACTTCCAAGCCCTGTACAGCTCACAACTCAACTCTTTCTCCTTCCCCCACTTGACTTTATATTCTTGCTCTTCCTCCCAACTCCATCTCCAGGCATTTTAATTTAGATTCACTTGACAAATTTCACTTTCCTTGGGTAAACTGCCAAAGGTACTGCTAACAAAGAAGAAGAATAATGAGTGGAGGAAAAAACATTTTAAAACCAAAGCAAAATTAGCAGTAACAACAACAACAGCTTCTGTTTCAAGCTTTTTCCAGATTTCTGTACCTAATTCATCCTCTTGGATTTCATGAACACATTTTTTTCCAAGTTCTGTCAACGGATACATAGTAGCTTTCTATCAATCATACAAGTCTCGAAGAAAAAAGGGTGTTAAGCCATTGGTACATAAAGAATCAGTGCTGCTGAAATACCCTCTCCTTCCCTTCCTTTTTTCCATCCTTCATATTTTCTTTTCAAAAATCACAGCTAAGGACTTCCCTGGTGGCGCAGTGGTTAAGAATCCGCCTGCCAATGCAGGGGACACAGGTTCAATCCCTGGTCCGGGAAGATCCCACATGCAGCGGAGCAACTAAGCCCATGCGCCACAACTACTGAGCCTGCGTTCTAGAGTTGACGAGCCACAGCTACTGAAGCCCATATGCCTAGAGCCCGTGCTCTGCAACGAGAAGCCACTGCAATGAGAAGCCTGCGCACCGCAACGAAGAGTAGCCCTCACTCACCGCAACTAGAGAAAGCCCGTGTGCAGCAAAGAAGACCCAATGCAGCCAAAAACTAAACTAATTAATTAATTTTAAAACATCATAGCTAATATGAAGGCCAGAAATAAAAATATTATTAGTTATTATAAGTCTTTTATAACTAAATTACAATTTAAATTGCTTTTAAAATTGTACATAGGTATTACTTTAAAAAAATATTACATTTTAGAAAACTGAATTATAGCTATCCAGTACTGTGTTTACCAATATACAGAAAAATTGAGAACTCAGCCAGTATTCTTCTGGATTTGTAAGATAAGCCCAGCAACCCAAATATTAGTGAAAACAGATAATTTAATATAGGCAATAAGGTATGTTATATCAAATACTCCAAAGAGGGATAATTATACAAGTACAAATGGATAGATATGTGGGATTTGGGAAGTATAAACCAAGTAGAGGAATATGTTTCTGGGACCTATTACATTGAAATAAGGGTTATCTTCTATTAAGTTCTTCCACTATGTAATATATTTATACTGCACATACATATCACTAAACCTTTTGGGGAGATATTACTGCCCATATTTTACAAAGAGTAAGAAGAAGAATTTGAACTTGAATATGAAGCTGTCCGATTCCAAGTTTACATTCTTTCCACTATAAAATAACATATATACATTCAGTTTAAAGTTAGGAGGGGAAAACTTATGCTCTTTTATTCTATCTAACAGCAGCTCACTTTTACCATGTTCCATGATCAAGGCTGACATTCTGATATGGCATAAGGGCTGAAAGCTGTTCTGATTAGTTGGGTATCTGTTGTTTGATTGGTGCCTATGCCATGCTGATCATTAAATATTTTGAATATCACACCTGTCCATGACACAGAACTCTGATTTTTCAATCAAATACTTACTCAGACACTTGAAATCATCTAAAACCACTTCGTATGACATATTCCATGCCTACAGGTATCCTGGGTCTAAGATGTAGAACTACTACCTCTTTGCAAAATTTGGCTACTCTCTCTCTAGATAAGAACATGCTGAAATTCCAAGTTTTATAGTAGAAGCTTAACACTTGCCATTTATATATACCAAAGCATGGAGCACATCTTTGAGTCAGCAGTACAAAATTACTATACTCTAGGTTTTTGCCAGTGAAAACCTTGAAACGGCATCCTGCCTTACTTGTTACAAGTCAGGCTTATAGCATTTGATATTTGGGAAATCAGTCTGACAGGATACTACTCACACCATCCTCAGTTCTTGCTATTAAATTAGATCACCAGAAAGGAATATATTTAGACATTAACTTATGCACTTAGATAGAAATGCCTAAACTGAGATTTATACACTTACATTCTTAGATTTTATCAAGATTCAATATACAGGAGGGATAAATTAGGAGTTTAGGAGTAGCATATACACACTATTATATATAAAACAGATAATCAGGGGCTTCCCTGGTGGCACAGTGGTTAAGAATCCGCCTGCCAATGCAGGGGACACGGGTTCGATCCCTGGCCCGGGAAGATCCCACATGCGACGGAGCAACTAAGCCCGTGTGCCACAACTACTGAGCCTGCGTGCTGCAACTACTGAAGCCCGCGTGCCTAGAGCCCGTGCTCCACAACAGGAGAAGCCACCGCAATAAGAAGCCCGCGCACCGCAACGAAGAGTAACTCCTGCTCGCCACAACTAGAGAAACCCTGCGGGCAGTAACAAAGACCCAGTGCAGCCAAAAATCAATCAATCAATAAATAAATAAAATAAAATAAAATAGATAATCAACAAGAACATACTATATAGCACAGAGAACTCTACTCAATATTCTGTAATAACCTATATGGGAAAAGAATGGATATGTGTATTGGGTTGGCAAAAAGTTCATTCAGTTAATGAATACATTGTTCAACAAAGTTCTTGGCGAAAATGAAAAATGCCTTTTATTTTTACTTAAAATCGAATGAACTTTTTGGCCAATCCAATATGTGCATAACTGAATCACTTTGCTGTACACCTAAAACTAACATAATGTTGTAAATCAACTATACTCTAAAATAAAATTAAATAAAAATTTTTTAAAAGAAAAAATAAAGTACATAGGAATTTTAGAAAGATTCAATATACAAAATGACCATATAAAAAAAGGAAGCAATGGTGTAAATATTTCAAGGACAAATCTAAACGTCATCATAAAGAAGCATGATATATTTCTGAGAACTTCATACTCCAGATTTATTTATAAGTTAGTTATACCAAAATCAGTTTGCCTAACTGATATATATAAAATGTTGTACAGGCTCCCTCAACTGGTTAAGATGTAGAACTACCAAAAAACATGCTGCATCAAGTTGACTTTATCATCCTCTTCAGAAATTTCTGTAACCCCAGCTTGAGATCGAAGAACAGACACGATGTCATTAGATAATTTGTCAAAGCCATTCTGTAAACATATATTTGCTAATTCTTGCCACTTTTCTAGGGAGCAAAATGGATCATTTATCATAAGATGTTCAACTGCATCTGAGGAAATAAAAATACAATATTATAATATAGCACTTATTTGATAATCCATACTTAGCAATTCTTCAAAAATAAAGAGATATCATTTCAACTCCATTACTATTAGACCTGATTCCTTTAAGTGTAACGTGGAGTGCCTAGTCGAGCTCATAGTAAGTACTGAAGTGTTAGTTCCTTCTCCTCCTCCTTTTTCATTAACCTTTTCATGCCTCAATTCAACTCTCCACCATTTCTCACATTACCTATTCCTTCACTCATCTCCTTCTTGGTAAGGTCAGCAGATGCTGAAGGCTGAAAGGAAGGGAGCTCAGAAAGTGAAGAATGTGGGCTCAGCCTTATTCCAGTCTATAAGGTACCACTAGGAACTATCAAACAAATTTGATGGTCAAGTTTTCATGATCCTTCAAACACTTTTATAAATGCCCTATAGTGCTAACCTAAGGGTTTAAAAAACTTTGGCAAAACCTCCATCCTGTCTCTAGACAGAGACGTCTTAATGATGGGGCTGCTTTAACAAATATTTTTCTAAAGGAAATAAAAGAATGATTTTGTTTATTAAAGAAAACTAATGATATTATTTACTTTTGAAAATCAATTATAGTGACCCTCTTTGGAACTATTTATGGAACTCGTTTATCTACTACCTGCATTACTTATAATACTTGATGAAAGAGGATCTCTATTCAGGTTATTGTAATCACTATTATTTTATTTCTACCATGATTACTATTTTTCTATCAAATAAAATATTTTAGTTGATATCTGTAATGATAATTTCTAAATTATCTTCCCAACTATGTTTTCATATAATTTACTATTCTTTCTTTGGCCCCATATGATAATTTAAAATCAATTTGTCTGCTCAAGTTTCTATATTAAATTAGAGAAAGGAAAGAAAAAAGTGAGATCTAATTAGTTATTTCTGATCCCACTCCAGAGTGAGGTTCAGAGTAAATAATATATGTAAATAATATTTTCATATATATTTGGTTTAGGAATAAAAAACATAGTTTATCTAAATAACATTTTTTTAAAATATATATAAATTATTAAATATACACATATGTTAATATATATAAAGATTTTACAGTAGTCATAGCTATTATAATTATTATGATGTTCCCCTCAAGCTTCAGAAAGAGTCTCTCTTCATTCTAATTCTCTCAACAAATATATACTATTACCAACAGAATATTATTAACATGGTAATCTTTACATTTATAAACACCTAAAGTTAACTCTTGCCAAGAATAAACTCTTAGGAAGATAGAGTTAACTCAAACATAATAATCTTGAACCTTTCCCTAAATAACCCACTACTATTTCTTTCACTACAAAATTTTACTTCACTTACCTTTCCCATCTTTATTTATTTCTTGAAGAAGCTTAATGCCAACTTTTTTCATATCTACAGAGAACAGGTGAAGTACAGCAAGACCAAAAGATAAATATGGTGGTTTCCCATTCCATTCTCTAGTGAGACACTGAATTAATTCAGTGTGGGGACATAACTTTATTAGCTGCATCAGGTCATCTGAAAGCAAAAATGAAAAACTGTGTCTCAACATCCTAATATGATACATCAACTAGAAACTGGGACTAGCTAATGTCTATATTTGCCAATCAACTCTTCTTTTTCCAATCCTTCCAAAGCCCTCAATGAATTCAACATTACTATCTCCAATCCAAAAAAAAAAAAAATCATACTCAGCATCGCAGAAAACAAAGGAAAACTACCTAAACATAGTACCAGGAAAAAAAATTTCTCAGAGAACAGTCTTGGAAAGAAATGCGGTATAAAAAAAGGACCAGGGTGACAATCAAGAATCCTGAATTCTAATCATAGCTCAATCAGTCACTTAATCTTTTGGACCTCAGTTTTTGCATCTTAAAGTGCTAGAATTAGTATCTCCACAATTTCTAAGCTCCCATCTAATACTATGTTATTTTTGTCTACATCTTGTTGCTCATTTGGGGGCAAACTTCTACTGAGTACATCTTTCTTGCTGTGCCTTGCAAAGAAAAGGGGCTCAGCAATTTTTCCTAAAAATATCAAGTATTTAGAAACCCAAATATGAAGATTTTAAGAAGCTGTTAGCTAGTTCAAGTAGCTAGAGGTTGAGCCATATGAAGTTGCCTACACTTGACCATTTTTTACTTCAAAAAAAAGCAATTTCATATGGTTTAATCTACTAGTTAACCATTCAAATAACCTAAAGCTACAATCATGATTTATATTCTTAAATTTATAAACTTTGTGTTAACTTACTAAATTTTTTTAAGTAAAAATATTCTTGGGCCACAACAGAGGTAATTTTCAGAATAATTTTTGAGAGCATTTCAAGAACTACGTGTAAACATACCTGCACTCTAAAAGGTAATACAAGGTAATCTAGTGTTTATTAAACACATATTCATTGTACTGTGAACTTACATATATTAAATTACTACACCTAATATTCAGTATAAGTCAGATATTATTATTCTCACATTACAAGTGAGGAAACAGGCTTAGAGAGGTTAATTTTCCCAGAATTAGACACACAGTCTAAAGAAGAATAGTTCATCTGACCCCCAAAGTCCATGACCTTCCAATCTGTGGTGCTGCTCCTCCAGAATAATAAATATGTATGTGTGTGTGCATTGTGTGTATGTACATATATACATGCATACCTACACAAAGAGAGAGAGAGAGACAAGGACAGAGAAAGAGAAATGGTAAAAGGTGAAGCAAGGAATAGCAGAATATAATTCTATATCAATGAAGTCAAATAATTTTTTTAAAATTTTCCCTAGAGAAGAGGTAGAAGTTTATGATCTGGGTCGTTCAATCTGGCCTCCACTAAGGTGAAGTTATTTATATAGGACAACCCTGTCTCCAACATTTCATAACTCATCCATCTCTCTCTATTTCATTCAATCAAGTATTCAAATACTCTTCTCCATTAATTGATTAACCAATATTTACTCCATTATGTACAAGACATGGTCTCTGACTAATTAGAAAGGACACAAGTTCAAATCCTATGAACCTACCCCTCTACTTACTTCAGAATGCATTTCCTTATTCCTTGGTTTGACATGTAATAATGATCATTATTTATCTTGCATGTTCTATTTTAATAAGGTTATAAGGGTCTATATATCAACCATGGTACTGTTTAACTCACAAATACCTAGATACTTAGAACAGTGGTTCTCAAAATATGGTCTAGGGTCCATAAAGTCAGAACTATTTTCATAAAAATACTAAAATTTGCCTTTTTTATTCTCCTTCTCTCACAAATATACAGTGGTGTTTTTCCAGAAGCTACATGACATATTACAATAGACTGAATATAGGATCAGATATGGGAAGCCAGCTATCTTCTATTAAACCAGACATTACAGAGATTTACAAAAATGTAAAACAGTGTCACTCTTTTCCTTAAATTGTTTAGCTTTGGAAAAGTTACTTTTCATAAAAATATTTTACTTATGACAATACATAATTGGTTTATTGCTGTTGGTTGTTTTTGTTTTTGTTTTTGGCCTCGCGGCACAACTTGTGCTATCTTAGTTCCCCAACTAAGAATTATTAAACCTGCACCCTCAGCAGTGAAAGCACAGAGTCCTAACCACTGGACTACCAGGGAATTTCCTATTGTTGTTATTTTAAACGTGAAATTTTGCCATTTGCAGCAACATGGATGGACTTGGAGGGCATTTTGCTAAGTGAAATAAGTCAGACAAAGAAAGACAAATACTGTATGATCTCACTTAATATGTGGAATCTAAAAAAAATAGATGCATCTGACTCACCTCACTCAGCTGCATCTGGGGAAGAGCCAGCGGACCAGCCTGCAGCCTGATGTGACACTGCCCTGGCTGGAGACCCTGATTATATCCCACAATAAGCTGAGAAGCCTGCCCTTGCTGGGTTGGGCACTGCCGGCACTCAACACCACGGACGTCTCCTTCAACGAGATGGCCTCGTTGTCTCCTGACGCCCTGAATGGCCTGAGCCACCTCCAGGAGCTCTACCTGTGTGGCAACAGGCTGCAGACTCTGCCCCCAACTCCTCTCCCACCCCCCCACCCCCCAGCTCCTGGCACCCACGCTCCAGCTGAAGAAGCTCAACCTGGCTGAAAACCAGTTGAGAATAGAACAAAACAGAAGCAGACTCACAGATATAGAGAACAAACTAGTCATTAAAAGTGGGGAGAGGGAAAGGGGGAGGGACAAGTTAGGGGTAGGAGATTAAAAGGTACCAACTATTAAGTATAAAATAAGCTACAAGGATATACTGTACAATACAGGGAATATGGCCAATATTTTATAATAACTATAAATGGAGTATAACCTTTAAAAATTGTGAATCACTATATTGTACACCTGTAACATATAATATTGTACATCAACTATACTCCAATAAAAATTTTTTTCTGGTTTAATTTCTTTTTTGTTAAAGTCTTTATTGAATTTGTTACAATATCGCTTCTGTTTTCTGTTTTGGTTTTTTTTTTGGCCGCAAGGCATGTGGGACCTTAGCTCCTGGACCAGGGATCGAACCCACACCCCCTGCATTGGAAGGCAAAGTCTTAACCACTCACCACCAGGGAAGTCCCTGGTTTAATTTCTAATAGGATAAATATCAATTGATAGAACCCACATAGACAAAAACTCTTTGGGATCTTCAATGCTTTTTAAAACTATGAAGGAGACCTGAGACCAGAAGGTTTGAGAGCCTCGGATCTAGAACAACCTAGTTTCTAGATTGTTTCTAGCCTTGGAGTCTAGAATTCCATATCTAGAATATAACCAGATAGGTACATTCACTTGTTTAATGATGATGGGGAAGGAGAACAAACAAATCATTAGGGAGGAAAAACGAAGTGTTTTTCCTTCTAAAACAGATGCTCTATGAGTCAGATTTATGCTTTTGGAACACAAGACTTTTTTAGGACTTCACCGTTTTTGTTCTGTTTCTTTGATTTGTAAATGTAAAGCTGACAGTCTAAATCTGAGAAAGACCATTTTCTTCTGAAACCAGAAAGTATTAACAAATCGAGTCTGTCCCCTGAGGCCAAGGATGATCCTTTGGAAAGCTGTGGTTGTTTGTCATTAAAAAGTAAAATAAGCAGAGTAATTTTTCAAACATTGTTTCTACCTTTTAAGCTTAATTTTCCTCAGGTTATTATTATCTTATGATGTTGTACTAAATAAATTCTGAGGATAAATATCAAGGTTCTAATTATATAGGAGAGTTAATATTTCTTACATTAGTACAATATACAGTTGTCCCTTGATATTCACGGGGTTTGGTTTCAGGACCCCCTGCAGATAGCAAAATCTGAGTATGCTCAAGTCTCTTATATAAAAAGTCTCATACAAAATGGCATAGTATTTTCATATAACCTACACACATCCTTCCATATACTTTAAATCATCTCTGGATTACCTAATACAATGTAAATAATATGTAAATAGTTGTAAATAAAATGCAAATGTTACGTAAATAATTGCTGGTGCATAGCAAACACAAGTTTTGCTTTTTAGAACTTTCTGGAATTTTTTTTCCCCTCAAATATTTTCAATCTGAAGTTCATTGAATCCATGGATGTGGAACCCATGAATATGGAGGGCTGACTGTATAATTATTTTACAGTGTAATGCACTACTAGAGGAACAGGATAATATGATAATGAGTCAATCATATTTCTGTATACTCATGCAAGGCAAATTTTGCAAGCAAAAAAAGAAACTTCACATTTCATTCAATAAAAATTCCAAGAGTAATTAAAATCTTTATTCCTTGACTAAAATAATTCTATGGAAAAATAATACTTAACACAGAAACTGAATCTGTATAAATTAGATAGTATTAATAAAATATATAATTCATTCAACAAATATTGTGTCGTAACTACTCTGCCAGATTCTGTTCCATCGCTGTGTGTATATAGGCAAATTACTTACCTCTCTGTGCCTTAGCCTCTCTTTGGACACAGTTATTTTTCATCTATAAAATAGGTATGGGCTTCCCTGGTGGTGCAGTGGTTGAGAGTCCGCCTGCCGATGCGTGGGACATGGGTTCGTGCCCCGGTCCGGGAAGATCCCACATGCCGCGGCGCGGCTGGGCCCGTGAGCCATGGCCGCTGAGCCTGCGTGTCCGGAGCCTGTGCTCCGCAACGGGAGAAGCCACAACAGTGAGAGGCCCGCGTACCGCAAAAAAAAAAAAAAAAAAAAAAAAAAAAAAAGGGATAATAACAAACCTAGTTCATAAAGTTAACATAAGGATTAAGTGAGATAAGGCATGTAAAAAGCTGAACTTCATATAGCTATTATTACACTAATAATATCGGGCATGCTGTTACATAATGAATGAAAAAAATTAATAACTCTAAAAAACAGATTCTAAGTAAAAGTCAATTTACTCTTCGAAAATGATCAGATTCGATGACCATAAAAGATTCTTTTTCCTGGAAAAATGTGACCTAAAAGTGCTATATTTTGCTCCATTGTGCAATTTCTTAGAACTGGAGTACACAGCTTGCAAAATCAGGATTGACATAGGCCTGGGATATGGGGATATGTCAGGACTGCCTGTACATTAAGGCTACTGCTGAACTAGACTATAATGAGATCAGCTCATTCAACTAGGGTCACCCTGGGGCTTCCCTGGTGGCGCAGTGGCTGGGAGTCTGCCTGCCGATGCAGGGGACATGGGTTCGAGCCCTGATCTGGGAGGATCCCACATGCCGCGGAGCGACTGGGCCCGTGGGCCACGGCTACTGAGCCAGCGTGTCTGGAGCTTGTGCTCCACAACGAGAGAGACCGCGATAGTGAGAGGCCCGTGCACCGCGACAAAGAATGGCCCCCACTCGCCGCAACTAGAGAAAGCCCACGCACAGAAACGAAGACCCAACACAGCCAAAAATAAATAAATAAACAAAATTAAACAAACAAACAAAAAAAAACAACTACGGTCACCCTAAGGTCCACAATTCTCTCAGATCACTGCCCAGCTGCAACCTAGGTGTTTCAAACTTTAAATCAACATTATTTCACTAATTCTTCATTTCTAATGCTTATATTATAGTTCAGAATGATATATATAAGTTCAGTTATTTTTTAAAAATCCTTTAAGTAGCATGGTCCAAATATCTGCAAGTTTACTAAATGTTTATGCACTGAAGAAATATAAAATGTATTTGAATGTCCACCATCAAAGTCAATCAGCTTCAGCTTACCTGTTTTCACTAAAAATTACAAAAGAAATCTACTTACTGGTATACACAAAACAAGCTTTATAATGTGTAAGTCCAAAATATTGCCTACTATCATGGGTGATCTTACAATTCAAGTCCAGAATTCGAATGTATACAAATAATAGGCTTTTTCACTTACCAGAAGTAAAGTCCTTGAATTGTTGTATGTATTCCATGGCCCCTTGAATTTGATTCTGTTTACACAGGCAAAGAAGAGCTTTCTTGTGCAGGCCACATTCACTATAGATAATCTGAGCTAAAGCCAGACACTTGGGCTTGTTATAAGTATCCTGCTCCCCATAATCAAAAATCACATCCCCAGCCTCCTCAGAAAATGTCAGCCTAGAGCAAGCAGACGAATAGGGCACACGTTAGTGAGCTCTTGATGAATGGATGAGAATGAAATATTTGAAAATTCAGCACAGTAGAACTGGATTTTCTATGGTCTATAAGGATTCCAAGTTAGCAGGCAACTGATGAAATTAAACATATCCAAGACTTAACAACAAGAACAAAACCAATCAGCATGTCTTCCTTTGGGGGAAGTAATTTTGGTGAAACTGAGCTCAACTTTTAAAAAAAATCTACAAACAAGGTTAAATTCTCCTGAAAAGATTGCTGGGATTTAAAATTTCAAGGTAAACAAAAATTCTCTCATAATTGAGGCTCTCAATGTTCTTAGCTGTTATGTAGATTCCAAAACCCTGTAGAATGTAAGAACTTATTAAATGTTGGTTAAAGATAGTGACAAAATCTTTAGCTCAAAATTACCAACAGATCTTGCAAGCATTTGTACTAAAATGAAAACAGAAAGTGCAACAGCAGTTGTTTTTTTTTTAAATTGTTATAGATTTGAAAGAAACAACGGGGGGAATAAAGGGACTTGACTGTGTATATTAGGAGACTGAAGAAACAGTTCTTTTGAGATGGCTCAAGTAAGTAGATTTCACTTTTCATCAATTTTAGTGCACCATCTTCATACACAATTGAAGGGAACCATCTGTACTACTAACTCTACCTAGAAACTATCAGCATAAGCCAAAAAACATTTGGGTATCATTAAAGATATCACTTCTAATTACTGGCTGTACTGAAACTGGGCTTTATTGTTTGGGTTTTTTTTTGGCCACGTCATGCAGCATCCAGAATCTTAGTTCCCTGACCAGGGATCGAACCCGTGCTCCCTGCATTGGGAGCATGGAATCTTAACCACTGGACTGCCAGGGAAGTCCCGTAATTATATTTTTAATTAATAGCTACAGAATAACAACAGTCACATAATATTAGTGTCTGTATACATGTAATAAAATGCCAATAACAATAAAATGAAATCTTGAAACTCCTACAAAATGTCTCTCTATTGAAAATTAAGTAGATAAAGCCCTCTGTGTTTGTTGGGGCAGGCAGCAGAGAGGTGGGTTTAAAATCAAAAGGCAGGGCTTCCCTGGTGGCGCAGTGGTTGAGAGTCCGCCTGCCGATGCAGGGCACACCGGTTCGTGCCCCGGTCCGGGAAGATCCCACATGCCGCGGAGCGGCTAGGCCCGTGAGCCATGGCCGCTGAGCCTGCGCGTCTGGAGCCTGTGCTCCGCAACGGGAGAGGCCACAACAGTGAGAGACCCGCGTAACGCAAAAAAAAAAAAAAAAAAAATCAAAAGGCAGCTCCTGAGTACGAATCAATTATTTAGGAAGCAATTCCCCGACTTCCACATTTTAATACCAAAATATAAGTTTTGGTAGTTAAAGTCACAATGTTTCCTGAGACTGAACAAGTCATTATTTCAGTTGTTGTAGTGACTGCATTACTGGAGCAACATGAAAATACCAGTATCTTAGTATTTATTTCTTATTAATACCATTATTTCATTATTTTCAGTGGTCACCCTCACGATGCTGTTCCAGCTGAGAGAAGGCCAGAGTTGAGACTAAGGTTGCTCTGCCTTCGTTTGTCACTTTCCAAAAGGATGATCAGAAGCAAAGAGTATGATTAAAAAGAAAATTATCCAAAAGGAGGAGGAGGATCAAGCCCCAAAATGGAATTGGCCCCAAAGGAAAAGCAGGCGGTGGGGGGTGGGGGTGTGGGGTGTGGGGTGTGGGGTGTGTGTGTGTGACGGGGGTCAGGGGGTGAGAAAAACAAGGATTCTAGCCCTGGGGTAAAAGAGGTAGCAGTCAGGCACCCAAAACAAGGTTTTGCCTTGTTTTCAGTCTGTAGCACATTTTCAGTAGTAGTCATCCAATAATTTTTTTGAAAAAGGCCAGATTTTTGTTTTTATGAGTTCCTAATGGAGACCTGAAATGTATGAATAGGTATAATCCATAGTTATCCAAAGCCTTCTAATTTTAGTGCATAGTTTTACCACACAGTTCCATCAAAGCTTAAGAAAAAATAAAAATGCTGCCACAAGATTCAAATCTAATATTTTAAAATTAATCACTACCAATATGGTATGGAGTAAAGTTGTAATGATTTTTATAGTGTCTAAGGTATCTAAATAGAAGAAACCCAAAACATGGAAAATCCAAACAATATTAATTAGCTCATGAATGCTCTAGAGTTGAGTGGGTTAAATAAAATTGTCCTATTTAGAATAAAGACATTTCTGCTAAATGGTATGTCCAGAAAAATACAGAAATACAAATATGAATAATTCAGGAAAAATGCAGTGGTATTTTCCCACTTTATGCACTCAGGGAAATGCATAAGAGTTTAAATTCTTACAACTAAGAGGTAGAATGGGCCAAGTATATGTAAGGAAATTAATCTTGTCTGAAGTGTCTTTGCACTAGATAACAGGTGTTAGTAATGAACATGCACTTTCTGATGCTGTCCTCATGCCTGCACCATTTCCAGGGCTCCCTGACAAGTACTTTTTGTGGAGAGTGTAGAAGTGTGACCAGGCAGAGAAAGAAAGGAGGAGGCAAAGGCTGAAAAGAGGGGTACACATATGAAGAAGTTTCCTAAAACAGGAATTACGTGAACATAATTATTATTATGTGAATAATTAATTACTGTGTGAACAGTAAGTGAAGGCATAACAAGACAGGGTAAGAGAAAGCTACTTTGCGCTGGGAAACAATAGTGAGATCAATCCAGGGAAGTTTTATGACTATTCAGAGTTGTGCAGGGAAATGATGAATTTGAAATGGGTAGCAGTAGGTAGTAGTATGCAAACTTGCCATTTTTGTTTGGGACATTTCTAAGTCATGGATTTGTTATTTAGAGAGTGCTTACATTTGTCCATCTACTCCCTTATGATACAATTCTTAAAGATGAGAACTGTACCTAGTCTCTAATATGTATTCTATGTCCCTGTGCATTTAGAGCCAAGAAAGCATAGCCCTTAGGCTGCAAAACAAGAAGGCCATGGCTACTAGAGAGAAGACAGGGAGGCCTTTCGTCACTCTGCCTTCCAATACTCACAGCCCAACCCATGCCCACATAGACCCAGCAAAAGGAGCTGTTATCTATTTCCAGATTGATCTTCATAAGCTGGTAGACACAGTTTTGGTGCCTACTCAGGTCCCCTTTACTGTGCCAGTGCCCCTTCTCCAGCTGATTATTGACAGCTCATAGCTGCCCCTTCTCCAAAGAATTGCCCTCAGCTGACTGGAGCCACCTCACCTAGAAAGTTATGCCTATCTTTCAACCCCTTAGTAATCTAGAGCTGACGACTGACTCGTAAGGGATACAAAAAGCCAGTCCCATAAACAAGCGGTAACAACTTTGCGGTACGGCTTATGCTCCACAGCTCTCTCTTTATAATACTAATACTAGACTTCACCTGAGTTCACATCCTTGCTTGGCTCTTTCCCTATCCTGTCTCACTCCTTCCCTTATAAAATTTCCCAAGCAATAAATGGCATCAGCTAAATCCAGGTATCATACTCTCTTCAAGGGCATAGGGAGCCTGAGTGCCAAAAATATTCCCCTTTGCCCCATTAGTTAGCAATAGTCCTGCCTTCTCATGATAAAGTCAATCAGGACTTCCAGACTCACAAAGCCTAAAGTTGCAGGCATGGGAAGCACAAACTCCCTGTGCTGGTTCATTCTAAGTGTCAACTTGATGTTGTTGGTCAAATAATATCAAGTTGACACTTGATATTATTTGACCAACCACAGATATTTGGTCAAATATTATTTTGGGTGTGTCTGTGAGAATGTATTTGAAGAGAGTAACATTTTAACTGACAGGCTGAGTAAAGCAGATTGCTCTCCTGAATGTGGGTGGCCCTCATCCAATCGGTTAAAGGCCTGAATGGTACAAAAAGGATGACTCTTCCTCAAGAAAGAGGGAACTCCTCCTGCCTGACTACTTAGCTGGGACATCAGTCTTTCCTGTCTTTGGGTCTCAAGGCTGCCGGCTTTCGGACTAGAAGTTACAGCATTGACTCTCTTGAGTCTCTGGATTGCTGATTGCAGATCTCGGGACTTCTCAGCCTCCATAATCATATGAGCCAATTTTTAATTTATATATATTTTTTCTGTTTCTCTGGAGAATCCTGACTAACACACTCTCCAAGCAGGCTCCTGGGAGTAATAGTTGAGCAGGGCCACTCTTCATTTCCCAGACCCAAGTATTCTACCTATTGGGAATACAGCACTATATAATTATCATTGGTTTAAGGAGTACATGTCTTCCTAAAGGATGTTCCTCTGTCTTCAAAAGATGAAGTGACAAGTTGGCATCACCTGGACACCATCTGAACCTTCCATGAACCAAGTTTGAGTTATTTTTTTCTTCTCCTGTCTGTTGGTCTTTGGTAACCCCACCCTTGCATGAGCCCATAGGTGTGAGCTGTGGAAGTAGTGTCCATCAGGCAATGGTAGTTGACATGGAGTCTGGGCCACTTATTCATGAAGCTTACTTGTCTGGGTAGTCCCAAGACAACTGAACACTGTTAGTGGGTAAATCAATAACTATGGTTTATAAATGGGAAAAGAATTTGGGGACTTCCATGGCAGTCCAGTAGTTAAGACTCTGTGCTTCCACTGCAGGGGGCACAGGTTCGATCCCTGTTCAGGGATCTAAGATCCAGCATGCCATGCAGCATGGCCAAAAAAAACAAAAAAGAATTTCGAAAAGAATAGATATGCGTGTATATGTATACCTGAATCACTTTGCTGTACACCTGAAACTAATACAACATTGTTAATCAACTATACTCCAACATAAAATCAAAATCAAGAAAAAAAGAAAAGATGGTTTGATAAAGGCATTGTAACCACAGTCATTCTACCAGACAAGCCATCAAGACCAAAACTGTAAGTAAGAAGAATCTATAATGAGTTATAGAGAAAGATAATGAGTACTAATTAATATGTATGAATCTCAAAATAAATGTAAGTGAAAGAAGCCAGACCAAGGAAAGAAAAGAATATACAATGTGTGATTTCATATATATAAAATTCTAGAAAACGAAAATGAATCTAGAATAACATGAAGTAGATCAGTGGTTATTGAGAGGTGGTGGAATGGAGGAGGCATTACAAAGGGACATAAGGAAACATTTGAGGGTCATGGATATGTTTATTATCTTGATTGTGGTGATGATTTCATGGATATATATATATGTCAAAACTTAAATTGTACACCTTAAATATGTGCAGTCTACTGTGTATCAACTGTGTCTTCATAATGCTGTTTTTAAAAAACTCATCAAATTGTACATTTTAAACATGTATAGGTTATTCTATGTAAATAATATCTCAATAAAGTTGTAAAAAAACCAAATTACAGCCCTAGGACCTAGCAACAAGGGCTATAGTTCCTCCCGCTAACCCTCCTCTTATAAGTTTCCCCAAGAATTGACCACAAAATCCTAGAGAAGATATGCCTGGATGGAGTGAACTTAATGTGAGAAGCATATAGATCTGTATTGTGCAAATGGTTGACTAAGGCAGATGCTGCTTTGGCGTCCTGCTCAAATCCTCCTTACTGGGCCAACGTACCCTTCCCCAGCTGCTCTGGGCGTTGGCTGCCAGTGGCTCACAGGTCCTTCCCTTCCATAGGGAATTGCCCTGGGCTAGTGGGAGCCACCATGCCCAGACTTACGTATTCCCATCTAGGCAGCCCACAGCCCTTGACTGACCGATGCAGAAGCAAGGAAGGCTGGCCCTTGCCTCAAGTGAGAACAGCTCTGTGATGTGTTTTATGCTTCAGAGCCAACCCGCTATAAATAAGGCCAAGGGTAGAACTTGCCTGAGGTCACGTCCTTGCTTGGCTCTTTCCCCTTCCCTGTTCTGTTTCACTCAGTCCCTTATAGGTTTTTCTTGAGAAGCCCTCCTTCTATCAACCATGTACACCCAAATTCCTGTTTCAGGCTTTGGTTCCAGGGAACCCAATCTAAGGGAACCCTGGTACAAATCTGCCAATTTGTGCCGAGACTCAACTCCAAGAAGCCACCTCCTGCCTGTCCTTGCTGGTTTGTATGTTCTTTTAAATGCTACCTTGGGTCCATGTCCCGCCTGCTTACAAGTCTTCTCCTGGGTTTATCCTTTACATGTATCCACAGCCTGCCTGAAAACAGGTTCCTGCCTTATCCCTCTGAGCAGCATGATACTGATCAATCCTTTTCTATCCTTACCTATCAACTTCCATGCACCATTAAGTGGTCATGAAACATCTTGTCAGCTGCCGTGAGTCAACTCCTGATGTGGGCTCATTGTGACTAGGCTCTATTACTCCATCCATGAATGCTTAGTAAATACTTTGTGACTGATTAGTTGCGATAGAGATTTGAAATAAATGCTCAAATAATGTACTGATAAGAAAACTATTAAAATTTGAGAACAAAAAACTTTATTAAGCAAATTTCAAAATTAAGTTAAAAGTTTAACTTTGCTTACCTTTCCTGGGTGACCCAATTGATAACTAAATCTAAACGTTTTTCAGATAATCCACATTTGATTCCTTCCAGGGTTAGTTCTGCATCAACAGGATGTTTAAAAGCATGACTTATGCTAAAGATAGCCTCAAAAAATGAGAGTAATGGGAAAGGCTTTCCTCTAGTTTTTCCAACAGCTACAAAGAGAAGAAAAGTTTTTGAGTCAAATACTTTTAAGGAATAATAGTTTGCTTTTCCTTACTTCATATTCATATTTTCATCTCATTGCATTTTCTAAAAATTTTAATCTAAAATTACATATTTATAATTTTTAAGTAACGCTTGTGGATTAAACTTTATATTTTGGATAATGACTAAATATCATATGCTATGTGAAAACCTAGGCAGAGGTTGGAGTGATGGGTCTACAAGCCAAGGAATGCCAAAGATTGCTGACAGCTACCTAGAAGCTAGGAGAGCAGCATGGAATGGAAATCTACTTCAGAGCCTCCAGAAAGAAGTTTAAAAAGCTATAAAATGGGAATTCCCTGGCAGTCCAGTGGTTAGGACTCAGCGCTTTCACTGGCATGGGCCTGGGCTCAATTCCTGGTCAGGGAACTAAGATCCTGCAAGCTGCATGGTACAGCCAAAAAAAAAATTTTTAAAAAGCTGAAAGAATATACTACCAGCAGACCTGTACTATAAGAAAGGTTAAAGGTAGTCCTTCAAGCAGAAGGAAAATGACACAAGACAGAAAAACAATCTACACAAAGGAATAAAGACCAGAAATGGTAAATGCTATGAATATAAGCATTTAGAAGTAGAGTTGATCCCTGAACAATGCAGGGGTTAGGGGCGCCGACCTCCACTCAGTCAAAAATCCATGAATACGTGTATCCACATGGGTCCTCCATATCCACAGTTCCACAACCACAGATTAAACCAATGATGGGTCATTTATTACTATAACAAGTATTTATTGAAAAAAATCCACCTATAAGTGGACCTGTGCAGTTAAAATTTATGTTGTTCAAGGATCAAACTGTTTTTAAATTTTTTTTTTTTTTTTTTTTTTTGCGGTACTCGGGCCTCTCACTGCTGTGGCCTCTCCCGTTGCGGAGCACAGGCTCTGGAAGCGCAGGCTCAGTGGCCACGGCTCACGGGCCCAGCCGCTCCACGGCATGTGGGATCTTCCCAGACGGGGGCACGAACCCATGTCCTCCGCATCGGCAGGCGGACTCTCAACCACTGCGCCACCAGGGAATGCATGAAGTAGTACATAATCACCTGAGTGTAGAATGTGATAAGTTAAAGATATAACCCATAAAGCCTAAAGCAACAACCAAAATAAGACAACAAAGAGTTACAGGCTCAAAAATCAACAAAGGAGAAAAATGGAATCATAAATAAATTCAACTAATCCAAAAGAAGGTAGAAGAAGAGAAAGAAAATAACAGAGATGAGAAAAAACAGAAAACAAATAAAAGTCAACCATGTCAACAATCACATTAAATGTAAATGATCTGAACACCCCAATTAAAAGACAAATATTGTCAGACTGTATAAAAAAGCAGGAGCCAAGTACATGTTGCCTAGAAGATACTGACTTTAAATACAAAGACACAAATTAAGTAGATTAAAGTAAAAGTATGGAAAAAAGATACACCATGCTAATACTAATCAAAAGAAAGATGGAATCACACTTCCAATTTCAAAACTTACTACAAAACTACAGTAATCAAGATAGTACGATTGCACAGGACGGACATCTAGAGCAACAGAATAGAATTAAGAGTCTAGAAAAAAACCTCAAACATTTATGGTTAATTGATTTCTTACAAAGGGGGGCCAAAACCGTTTAATGGGTAAAGAAGAGTCTTTTCAACAAATGGTGCTAGGAAAACTGGATATCCACATGCAAAAGAATGAATTTGGACCCCTATCTCACACCAAACAAAAAAATTAATTCATAGTAGACCACAGACCTAAATGAATAAAACTCTTAGAAGAAAACATAGGATCTTAAGTTAGGCAAAGATTTCTTAAGATACAAAACCAAAAGCACAGCCATTAAAAAAGATTGGTAAATGGGACTTCATCAAAATTAAAACCTTTTGCACCTCAAAAAACACCAACAAGAGGGACTTCCCTGGCGGTCCAGCAGTTGGGACTTTGCCTTCCAGTGCAGGGTGGGTAGGGGGTCGATCCCTGGTAAAGGGGCTAATATCCCACACACCTCGTGGCCAAAAAACCAAAACATAAAACAGAAGCAATATTGTAACAGATTCAATAAAGACTTTAAAAATGGTCCACATCAAAAAAAATTAAAAACAAACAAACAAACGAACAACAACAAAAAAGAAACACCAACAAGAAAGCAAAAATGCAATCAACAGACTAGAAGAAAATATTTGCATATCATCTATCTGATAAGGGATTTTTACCTGGAATTAAAAAGAGCACTTGCAACTCAATAATAAAAACACAAATAAAACAATTATCAAATGGGCAAAGAATAGACAATTCTCCAAAGAAGATAAAATGGCCAACAGGCACATGAAAAGATGCTCAACATTGTTAGTCCTTCGGGATATGCAAATTAAAACCACAATGAGGAAAAAAAAACGAGATACCACTTCACACAGATTAGAAAGGCTTTAATCAAACTGACACAAAAAAAAAAAAAAAAAATGACAGACACTGGGCTTCCCTGGTGGCGCAGTGGTTGAGAGTCCTCCTGCCGATGCAGGGGACACAGGTTCGTGCCCCAGTCCGGGAAGATCCCACATGCCATGGAGCGGCTGGGCCTGTGAGCCATGGCTGCTGAGCCTGCGCGTCCGGAGCCTGTGCTCCGCAATGGGAGAGGCCACAACAGTGAGAGGCCCGCGTACCACAAAAAAAAAAAAAAAAAAAAGACAGACATTACATGTACCAAAATGTTCACTGCAGCTCTATTTACAATAGCCCAGAGATGGAAACAACCTAAGTGTCCATAATCGGATGAATGGATAAAGAAGATGTGGCACATATATACAATGGAATATTACTCAGCCATAAAAAGAAACGAAATTGAGCTATTTGTAATGAGGTAGATAGACCTAGAGTCTGTCATACAGAGTGAAGTAAGTCAGAAAGAGAAAGACAAATACCGTATGCTAACACATATATATGGAATTTAAGGGAAAAAAATGTCAAGAAGAACCTAGGGGTAAGACAGCAATAAAGACACAGACCTACTGGAGAATGGACTTGAGGATATGGGGAGGGGGAAGGGTGAGCTGTGACAAAGCAAGAGAGTGGCATGGACATATATACACTACCAAACGTAAAATACATAGCTAGTGGAGAGCAGCCGCATAGCACAAGGAGATCAGCTCGGTGCTTTGTGACCACCTAGAGGGGTGGGATAGGGAGGGTGGGAGGGAGGGAGACGCAAGAGGGAAGAGATATGGGAACATATGTATATGTATAACTGATTCACTTTGTTATAAAGCAGAAACTAACACACCATTGTAAAGCAATTATACTCCAATAAAGATGTAAAAAAAAAATACAAAAAAAAAAAAAACAGACAGACATTACAAGTATTGGTAAGGATGTGGAGAAATGAGAACTCATACACTGGTGGTGGAAATGGAAAATAGTGCAAAGTTTAGCAGTTCCTCAAAGTATTAACACAGAGTTTCCATATAACCCAGAAATTCTTATTTATTTATTTATTAGTTTGTTTGTTTGTTTGGCTGTGCCAGGTCTTAGCTGTGGCAGGCAGGATCTTTGTTGCCACACGTGGGATCTTCATTGCAGCCTGTAGGATCTTTAGTTGCGGTACACAGAATCTTTAGTTGCAGCATGCAAACTCTTAGTTGCAGCATGTGGGATCTAGTTCCCTGACCAGAGTTCGAACCCAGGCCCCCTGCACTGGGAGCTCAGAGTCTTAGCCACTGGACCACCAGGGAAGTCCCTAACCCAGAAATTCTACTCCTAGGTATGTATCCAAGAAAAATAAAAACATATCCACACAAAAACTTGTACAGAAACGCTCAGTTGCATTATTCATAATAACCAAAAAGTAGAAACAACTCAAATGACCATAAACAGATGAATGGATAAACAAAATACAGTACATCCATACAATGGAATATTATTTCACCACAAAAAGGAATGAACTACTGATACATGCTATGGCATAAATGAACCTCAAAAACATTAAGCTAGGGCTTCCCTGGTGGTGCAGTCGTTGAGAGGCCGCCGGCCAATGCAGGGGACGCGGGTTCATGCCCCGGTCCGGGAAGATCCCACATGCCGCGGAGCGGCTGGGCCTGTGAGCCATGGCCACTGAGCCTGCGCGTCCAGAGCCTGTGCTCCACAACGGGAGAGGCCACAACAGTGAGAGAGGCCCGCGTACTGCAAAAATAATAATAATAATAATAATTCAAACTGGATCATAGACCTAAATGTAAACCTAAAACTATAAAATCCTTAGGGAAAAAAAAATAGGAGAAAAATCTCTGCAGATTAAGCACAGATTTCTTAGGTACGACACTAAAATCTCAATCCCTAAAAGAAAAAAACTCATAAATTAGATTTCAACAAATTAAAGACTTCTACTCTTAGAAAGACACTGTTAAGAGAATGAAAAGACAAGCCACAAACTGGGAGAAAATATTTGCATCATGTATCTGGTAAAGGATTTTTATTCATAGAATGGAACACTACTCAGCAAAAAAAAAGAATAAATTATTGATAGATGGAATAACATGGATGAATTTCAAAATAATTAGTCTAAGTGCAAGAAATCAGTCAAAAAAGGATACCTACTATACGATTCCATTTGTATAAAATTCTTGAAAATGCAAACTAATCTTTGGTGACTGAAAGCAGATTAGTAGTTGCCTGGGGACTTGAGGGAAGCTCTGGGAGGGAGACCAGTGGGAGGGGTGGGGAGTAGTGGGAGGGATCACTGGGGGAATGAGGGCACTTTTGGAGGATACATATGTCAAAACCTAACAAACTGTACATTTTATGTACAATTTAGTGTATGTATGTCAACTCACCACAACAAAGCTGTTTTTTAAAGGAAGTTGAGCAATCTGACAAAATATTAACATTGAGTAAAACTTGAGAGCGAGTACATGGCTGTTATTTATGTTTCTCACACTTTTCTGTATACTTGAAATATTTCATAATTTAATTTGGAAAACCTAATCAAACCCCTTAATGTTACAGGTAAGGAAACTGAGTAAATGGTAGATCTTGTTTCCCAGTTCAATACCCTTCCCATTCTATCAGGAAAAAAAAAAGTATAATTAGCATACATATGTAAGGTTCAGAGAGAAATGCTTACCCTTAAATTTACTCACTGTCCCAATGTTTTGAAGAATTCTTCTAGGACTGTTTGCTGCAAAATAAACTGCCTTTTCATATTCTCCAAGTGAGATTAATTCATTGAACCTATAGCCAGTGCATTTCATTATATAGTAGTACACAAAAAAAGTAAAGAAAAGTGATTAGAAATGTCTAATACAGACTAAACATAGTAGCATAGTAATGCAGAAAAGCACCTCTAATAAACTATAACTAGATTCATTCACTCTGTGAGATACTCTTTCACTTCCTTCCCTAATATTGTTTTTTGTAGCCTCAGAATAAGACTCACCTGCCAGGTGACGTGAACCTGATCCTGTACCTTATTCCTATAGTGCTGAGAGCAAGCCATAGAAAGAGCAACTGAATTTATTCAGTTGAAAGAACTTCAACTGAATTTATAATGAGCTCAGATTTTTTTTCTCTCATATTATCTCTGGAAGAAAAGGGGAACCAGGGGAAAGAAGGGCAATCTGCTTAAAGGCTCAGCCTAGGGGAAATATTAATTGCACACAAAGGCTGCCAAGTTGAAGATCAAGAAGTGTCCTTGGTATTCAGAAGCCTTAGTTGTTCGGCCACGAATCAGACTCCCAACTAAATGTGAGACTAATTCAAAGAAGAAAAGATAATAGTTCAGATACCTTAAGCTTCTACTCCTCTTCCTAAGGCAAAACATCTCCAACTCAGTCCTTACAATTAAAACTATGGCGGGGGGAATCGGGAAGATGGCGGAAGAGTACAACGCGGAGATCACCTTCCTCCCCACAGATACATCAGAAATACATCTACATGTGGAACAACTCCTACAGACCACCTACTGAACGCTGGCAAAAGACCTCGGACCCCCCAAAAGGCAAGAAACTCCCCACGTACCTGGGTAGGGCAAAAGAAAAAAGAATAAACAGAGACAAAAGAATAGGGATGGGACCTGCACCAGTGGAAGGGAGCTGTGAAGGAGGAAAGGTTTCCACATACTAGGAAGCCCCTTCGCGGGCGGAGACTGCGGGTGACAGAGGGGGGAAGCTTCGGAGCGGCGGAGGAGAGCACAGCAACAGGGGTGCGGAGGGCAAAGCGGAGAGATTCCCGCACAGAGGATCGGTGCCGACCAGCACTCACCAGCTCGAGAGGCTTGTCTGCTCACCCGCTGGGGCGGGTGGGGCTGGGAGCTGAGGCTCCGGCTTCGGTCAGAGCGCAGGGAGAGGACTGGTGGCATGAACACAGCCTAAAGGGGTTAGTGTGCCACGGCTACCCGGGAGGGAGTCCGGAGAAAATTCTGGACCTGCTGAAGAGGCAAGAGACTTTTTCTTCCCTCTTTCCTGGTATGCGAGGAGAGGGGATTAAGAGCGCTGCGTAAAGGAGCTCCAGAGACAGGCGCGAGCCAGGGCTAACAGCGCGGACTCCAGAGACGGGCATGAGACGCTAAGGCTGCTGCTGCCGCCACCAAGAAGCCTG